AGAAAATGGTAAGACAACCAATGCTCATGAGTCAAGCGGCACAACCCTGAAAACATTTGAGTGGTACCTCTGGCAAAAATTTGGATATCCTGTCAAGCATCAAGTACCATCTCATCAACATTTTGTAAGAGTTCTCCAGGGCTATCACATTAAGAGAACTTTTAGCTGCCTGAGTCCAATAGCATTGAGATAAGACCTGGTGCTTGCGGAACCTGTAGGCATCTGCTTTCAAACGCCATAAGCGAAAGTGGTGCATTCATCTTGTCATGCTGGATTTTCTACATATTTTCTACAGATACAGCACAGTAGTAGTGGCCTGCCCTAAGATACCTGCTTGGTTATACTTATTTTAGTACATGGCCATACGTATTCACAGTGACATGTCCCCTTACTGTGACATGGGCAACTGAAAAGGAATTTGGGTAGCTAGGGCTCTTTGTAATTTTACTTTGTTATGTCACCATTACTGTTAAACAGCTGCAGGCAGGGAATCCTCACTAGTTGGGTTACAGAGAGCTGTAAATTACTGCAGTCAGGCTGGGGAGACTCTGGATGCCACTGAACTTTGAAAGTTTTTTGAAAGAACACAACAGCTGGGAAGGGGGGCAGGGGAAATCCATACACAACACCGTTTTGCTATGTAAAGGAGCATATGGGAGGTGTATATACAATATCCTTTCATAAGAAGTATGCCATCTGAAACAATGCATGGTGTTCGTAACAGCAAACGATTGGACATTACATTATACCGTTCAAGAATGGATGCAAGGTGCCAAATCAAGCCCTTCTCATGTCTCCATCCAAATGGTAATGGAGGAAGTGGGATAAAAATGAGGGGAAGACAGGCAAATGGTGTCGCAGGACCTACCTATGTATACTAACAGTCAGGTTGTGAGATGGCACAAGTTGGACTGGTTTAATGCTTGCCAACTTGTAGATCATAATTATAATCATAAAAGTGGGAATTTATCAAAACTGGAGCAGACAAAATCTGGAGCAGCTGTGCATGGCAACCAATCAGCTTCTCTCTCTCTTATTCAAATCTTAACTGAACAAACTGAAGAGAGAGTCTGATTGGCTGCCATGCACAGCTGCTCCAGGTTTTGTCTGCTCCAGTTTTTATAAATTTCCCCCATAATGTTTTAATATTTCCTATACACACACACAAACACATATAATTCTCCTATTGTATATTTTTTCTCCAAAGTATTTAGTATTATTTTGGCAGTGAATGTTAATGCCTACATCATACAGCCAATCTTCCATGCAATCTCTTAAATAAAAATAATTGCTTTATTTTTGATTTTAGCAAATATTATCAGCTTGTGGTTATGTACTGTGCTTTAGTGCTTCATGCAGAGCGTTAGTGGCAAATATCATAAGAGAACTACATGTAGACATCTTTAATACTATACTGTTACTACCAGACCATGTTGTGTTTTTTTATTCCTAATAGATTTACCACCAAAGTAAACAGTCCTTTCCATACATATCGTATATCTTTTGAGTGTCAGTATGCTTTGAACAATATGTTTTGCTTTGATACATGCAGCACTTTAAGGTCTGACTTTCTTCTCTAATCAGTCAACACATGCTTACAAATTGAAAAGAAAAATCGATAAATCCCTACAGTTGTTGACTGACACATAGGAAACATTTTGTGTGTTTTTATTGACAACATTTTTACAGAGAACTAAATAACCGATTGTATTTCTTGATATTTTCAACTACTTGTGAGGGAGACACTAAAACAGACCGCACCACTGCTGCAAGAAATGTTTGCAAATTAAATGGTCGAATCAGAAAACATATACATCTAATTTCTAACTTTTCAATCTACTGGTAATTAATACAGCTTTTGCATCTGTTATTTATTTTCCACTGTAAAAAAAAATTGCATGTGGTCCCCCTAGAACAATGCCATCATGGCCCATCAAACACTCATACAAGCTGTTTTTCCGATTAGCCCTCTGCTATATTGCTATTTGCTATTATGTCCTTCAGAATCCGGTGAGCACTTCAATAACTGAACTGTTAAAAAATGAACATCTCAAAATATTGCTGCAGGACCCACATACTGTAAGGGGTAAGTGAGTAACTACTACTTGTTCTGTGATTGCAAAAGGGGTCAATTGACAACAGCCCCAGTATAATGATTTTCTGAGAACCACTCATTGTTGGTAGTACTGGACTATGGAATTAATTATTTTCCTTATTTCAAAGAGGCAATTGTGTTTAAAATGTAGCAATGGGTAGTTTTTGTGTCACATTTTGAACTTTGTTAGTTTATTCGCTTGTCTCTATTTTAAAAGTAATATAAATGAAAAAAAAGAAAAGCAGCACTTGAGTTTTCTTAACTCGATCTAGGTTTCTAATCAAATTTTTAAAGCTTTTTGTCATTTTTAATGCAAACCTAAACCTATACAACATATTTATATTTAACCATGCCTTTCCTCTTGCCATTTCATAATGGTACCTGTGCATAGTTCTTTTTAGCTCCATCTTTCATGTCAAAAATCTCATGTAATGCCTTTTGATTAACCAATAGAAAAAAATAAATCCAGCCATTCTGGAAATTAGATATTATGTCATTTGCAGACAAACAGTGTAAGAACATACTTTATCTTCCATTGGTTCCAGGCTGAGCCACTATCTAGGGATTGCTAGAGAGCTGTGACACTAGAGAGGGAGCAACAAAGACCATAACACAGCCTCTATGCACAGATACTGTTAAGAAGTGGAAAGTGGAATTGTATGAGTGGTTTACGCCTGTTAGATGAATTATCGGTGACTGACCTGGTCTTCACTTATGTATCCAGCAGTGATTCTTTGTTTCTGGAATTCTTAGTTTAATCCTCACGTGTGATGGAGACCCCTTTGTCTTCAACACAAGAAATGCTAATACTTTGGTTGCATTGCCTGTAATTTAAAATTGAAACTCCCCCAGCTCCCATGACAGTCACAGACTATGTGCAAACTGGAATATCGGAATCAGAGATTTTCCTGTTTCTGGAATCCTAGAAAATATAGAAACTGGAAGTTTTTTTAATGCACCAGTAAACACCTAAAACAGAAATATCAGATTTGGGGGGGGACTGATCCTTTAATTTATTTATTTATGTCATGACTGACCAGTATGGATGACATGATATGCATACAGTATATGTAGCAAATATAAGGCATTTTCTAAAGCCAAATCTTATTTTTAGTTTTGGATAGAGCATGCCTGCCAGGTATTTTATTGCCTGTGTTCCTTTTTGGGAAATTCACTCTCTCTATCAAGGTTACCACTGTCACCAAGAGTGAAGGTAATGGTAGATTCCAAACTTTATAGATGTCTCTAGAATAGGAGGCAAGGGGTAACCTTCCAACAGAGACACCTGTTTTGATGACAACTGTCTAAGAATGGGTTTCCCACTCACTTCTTGTTGTGCCCTAAATACACAAACTTAAGGGAAATCTACCTAAGACCCCGTTCACATGTAGCGACATACCTTTGCAGCGGCCGGGATAGCGCGACTTTCGGGGCGACGATCCAGCGACGGTAGCGCGACCTTCTCCGTCGGGCTCCATAGAAAAAAAGCAAAATCGACGCGCGACATGGAGTTAAGATAGCTCCATTGAATAGCATTGGCCGGCGACTTCTCGCGATATCGCACGGCAAAAATGCACGATATTGCGGCGGAAATCGCGCGATAAGTCGCTACATGTGAACGGGGCCTAATGGGGCACATACAGGAACCCCTCTGTAAAACTGACAGGAGTTGTAACCATTGCCCACTCTATCTAAAATTAAAACAAAATTATAACTGTAGATATACATTGAGCATGATTCAGTTTTCTATTTATGGATATTCACAAGATCCACAAGCAGGCTTTTTAAATCAAGTGGAACCCCATTTATTATACCGACACTTCTTAATTGTTTTCTTATGAACCTAAATATTAGTAATATCGAGTAATAATGTCAAATATGATGTACCAGGTATTTTTAATATTCAAGAATGTACATTGAAACAGAAGGATGGCTTTTAAAAAATATTTGCAATCATTTCTGTGCTGAATTTCTTTTTTTAAACTACTTCTATTGAAAATCCCTCTCTGTGTAATGTGCTTCACACTACAGAAGGGGAAACAAGACCATCTGTACTTCTTATGATAAATGAGCAGGACTTCATAGACAGTATCCAGTGGTGCCCCTAGTGGTAGAGTGTTGTAACTTTTCCTCAGCTGCTTTTTAAAAAATCTTGTTATAATGTGTTATTTAGTGATTAGGGTTTATGAGCTCCAGAAGGAAGGTAATTTGTGAAGCCTCAACAAAATAAGAGAGGCATATGCTATGGGAATCCTTATCCCAAGGTTAGGAGTAAAGTATAAATAGCTTGATATGTTGATATTATGAATCGTGTTTGGAAAAAGGTAGGTAAATACAATAAGATTATTATAAATGATTTTCCAGTGGTATATCATTTCTTTTGTAAACTAAAGATTATTAACAATTTTTGCTGTCCATTTACACGCCCATAGACCATTATAATTATAACTCTAAAACACAAGAGAACTTGATGAAAATATGAGCTGTGGGATTTAATTTCCTTGTAAGCCGAGTTGGGTATTTTAAAGGATCAAAGGGGCTTTGTGCTTTGTGCATGATCTATGATAACACAGGGAGAGATTATGATCCCTGTCATTCATTTGTGTTCTCAGGCAATATTCACTTCTAAAAATAATGCTTACGCTACTTGCAGCTGAATTAACACATAGATAAGATTTTTTTTGTAAAATAAAAACCTTATGTTTTATTCCTCTTTGTAGTTTAATGAAATCTAACTTACAAAAGAATCATTCAGTTTTTTGTAGTATTTGTTTTAGGGTAAGGCAAAGCAATGAAACATGTAAATGATAAAAAAAGGAAAAGGTTGTATAGCAAAAAGACACAGCAGTAACATTCGATGTAAAAGGTTATGAAAGACAAGGACATGTAAGGTCATATCGTGTATTTTATTGCAGCACAAGAACACAGCGGGAGGTCACTCTTCACCATCATCTGGTAGCACCAAACTGTCCGGATCGTAGTAGTTTTCAGTCATGAGGGGGGAGACCGTGGGCTTCTCTTAATTTTTTTCAGACGCTCGGCCTCTTTCACAGCCCAACGATCCATCTTTGGATCTGGAAGGTAATAAACGACTACGGATCCAAACACCAGTCAAAGAGTCACGCTAGTGAAGAAGACTGCGCGTGCGTTCCACAGGTCAGCTTCGGGGTCATCACTGAAGCCAAATTAATCTGGGTTCTTCAGGAACATGTTATGCACCTCCTCCTCATGCTCCTCCTCCAGTCCCAGCTTAAGGTGATGGTGGTGGTCATCATTGCTGTTGGAGGTGACGGAGAAGGAGGCGGCGGACGGCCGGGGAGCGGTGTGCACGGACCGTGTCAGGCCAGCGGTTGTCCTCAGCAAAATCGGCCGGGCTGCCCGGGAGAGGCGCAGCGCCCCAGCACAAAAGGACATTGCCATATTTTCTGCTGCCTGAGCAGAGCCACACGGGACACGGGACCAGGCCACCTGCTCCCCACCTCCTGTCCAATCAGAGCCTCCTTTTTTGTTCTATCTCTTTTTCGTTTTTTTGTTTTAACTTTTTAAATTCCCGCCGCTTCCACCCCCCTGTGACGCGGAAGCTCGCAAGGGACAGAACCCCGGAAGAAGGATACCGGCATCGGCCGAAGGACACAGCGGGGATCGTGGACAAGGTAAGAGACGCTACGCTGTAATCCCGAGTGTGGCTCGGAGTTGCCGATTATGGTACTGAGAATGAACCCCGAGCCACACTCGGGAATACCGCCAGGGTCAAAGAAGAGCTTCAATCCAATATACTGTATATGCAATGTACATTTACACGCACACAGATACATACTATTTTCACCAAATGTCCTCCTTTCCTGCACCTCATTGCTGCTGATCTACTGCAGCCCTTTTGCTGCCACTTTCTATCTACATGCATGCACTCCAGCGATGACTGCAATGCACTTCTCAGGGCAGGTTTCCTGATGGCAGCAACAATGAACTATGCCTGCATAATGTGTGCTGAAATGGCCATCTGTAGTTGCATTGGAAGCCTGTTTGACAGAGTGACAACACAGGAGCTTAGGGAGATAGGGACACTCTATAACAGGAAGTATGTAAACAGGGACCTTCATGGCAGCCACCTGATATATCAGGATATATCAGTCTACCAGTCTCCCGACAGCTCTATGGAATCTCCCAAGATGCTCTGTATCTTCCAGAGGCTCCCAACACATGTATCACACAATATCATGACAGTGGACTCTTTGGGGTTAATTTACTTAAGGCAAACAGGCTCACCTTGCAAGGGAATTTCCACTTTGCAATGATGGTCTTCCGTGTTAGTGAACTGATCCATAAAGAAGTGAATGGGTACAGCCTTAAGTTGGGTATACACGCATATATTTTCTTCGTTCAGCCAGCAGACCTTTGATTTTCCTCTGTATTCTGACAGTGGCCGCTTGCTGCGTTAAGAATAACCAAATAGAGCTGGCAGCTCTGTTCAGCCGACAAATATCCAACATGCTCCTTTGATCAGCTGATTGAGGGATGCCGGTGCCAACAACTGCACCCACGCATCGAATTTCTGCTGGCTCATCGAGTTTCAGCCGAAATTCGAAGCATGTATACCCGGCTTTAATCAACTTTCCAAGTAGACTACAGAGGGACACCGAGATTCATTTTAAGACTGTTGAATACATGTACAATGCCACAAGGTTCCTGCACTTGAACAATGTTGCCACCCTAGAAATGTTTTAGGACATGTACTTTAAAAAAAAATGAAGTGTGTTTATTATGTATTTATTGATAATTTTATTAAAAACAGTAACATTATTTACATTATTCTTAAATTACCATTATATTGCTCACAGTAAGAGGTAGCAGAATGATTTTAGTTTAAGTTGAGCTTATTTAAATAGCTTACTTTTGTTACAATGTGGAATATTTTCTAATTTCAACCCCTGGAGAATTCAGTTGGAGTTTTAGCCATTGCTGAAAATATATATATATTTTTTATTTGTCAAACTATGTTATTTTTATCTAAACTTCGGAGGGTTCCCATTAAATTGAATTAAATCAATACTCACTTTCAGGCTGAGAATTCCACAGTGCACTTCGATCCTGCTGCTGACACAAAATAACGTAGTCAGATTTTCCAGAAGCAGAGACTCTGTGGTTTTTATTAATTAGATATTTTTTCTTCTCATTAAAATACCCTCCAGCTTCAGTATAAAGGCTTTTGTTTAATAAACATTTCAATGGGAAAAGATTAGTACACTAAAGACTAACCTGTATATGCTGCAGTACAAATGCCATCTGTATAATTATAGAGCATTGTTTATGAGCTATAGGGGTATCTTATTAAGCATGAGGCAGCTGAGTCTTGAGATTTGTGTTCTTTGTAGTTATTCTTCACATAAGTGGGTTTTAGTATGTATGACAGTAAAACAAACATGGTAACAATGGTAACCCACATTCACATAAGTGGGTTTTAGTATGTATGACAGTAAAACAAACATGGTAACAATATTTAGAGGTTCAACTACACTCAATTTCTCTTCTAGGGCTTCTTTCAAGACATACTGGGGGTCATTTATAAAGAGTATCTACAATACTCTAGAATTCTGCGGTGCATCTACATGACAAATGGCTGTGCTCGCACCAGATTTATGTACCTGTCAGAAACAGGCACACTGAGGCTCCACAGCAGGCACATCGTCGTCCTACTGCCGCTACACCTGTCACACAGGCGAACCAGTCAGAGTGTTTTATGGTGGGTTGGCGGAGCATAATGGGGAAGATGAGTAAATAGTTCCATCTGGTCTGCTCACTTGGTGATTGACAGCAGGCAATGAGTGGATTCGATAGCCAATAGACAGCCTGTTATTGGCTGTGGAAACTGCCCAGTGCCTGCTGTCAATCACTAGCAGAGGTGATCTTATGGGGAAACTGCAATGTACATTGCATACTGACCATGTGCGTTATAAAAGCAAACCTCCAAGACTCCATTATTTGTCAGGCACACAAGACTTACGCCAACTTCAAAGCATGGGCCTACCTCCTTTTGTCAGCCTCTCCAATATGTGCTTCTTTATAAGCCAGGCTTACCATTGGACAATTAAAACAGCAGGTAGTGTGCCAAAGATCTGGTGTTGGAGCTGGCTATGCTGTAGCTCCTAAATGCTTTTGACTGTCTCAGCAGTCTCTGCAGTGTTGACATTCTGTACCCTGTCTTCCTCAGGCCCGCCAGTGGATTTAGTATATAAATCTAGTGTTACAAAGGGAGAGGATAAAAACAAAAAAAGAAAGATTCCCATGCAGCACTGCCCTCAGACAAACTGCTGCCCACAGCACTAGCCCATGAGTTCCAGTATGGGAAATATAGCAATACTGACATCTTAAAATGATTGTTATTGCTCTGAGGAAGAATTATGTAATAATGCTGGACATTGGGAACAAGAAGGAAGGGTATGCTAACATGGCATAGACATTTTTGTTACTGTAAATACATAATACAAGTTTGTGCAGCTCAGTGTACAATTTCAGCATGCCATGGTGCCAGGATGAACTCCATTGTTCATGTGCCAGATTTGCATCATCCCAGGCCAGCTAGTCAAAATTGTCAAAAACACCAAACTCAGAAAAGAAGACAAAATGAGGATGTAGACATCGGCAAGGCAGCTCACAGATGTTGATTCACTGGAGTAGTGGTAAGTTTAGTTCCAATTTATGAACTTATGTACTTTCTTTATTCTGCTTGACATTTTTTTTGCCATTTTTGGCATTACCATCTTCCATGGGGATAAATGGTACATGTAAAATGTATAGAAAAGAGAAAAAAAAAACACACAAAGGTATGAAAAGGCTCTTCTTAGCTGTGTGCTATATTTATAGATAATAAAAAAGACAACTTGAAAAGGTGGAAGCTTGGATGGAGAGAACTCTTTTGAAAAGAGTGATTGAAAAGAACCAGGACCATCAAAGCACTGACCTTGACATGCTTGTACTATCTTCAGAAATATATCTTAGAAGTTTACTGGAATTTGTTAGGAATGCTGCATGGCACTAGAAATCAATTAATCTCTAACAGCCCTGACATACAGCATTTGTCTACTTAGCAGGATGTATGTACCTTAGCAGGAAATATACACTGAGCAAGTCCGTCTGTTAAAGAAAGCAGGCCAATGGAGTTTACAGTTTTACAGGAGAACACCAACATAAAAAACAAATAAATATGGTGCGGTAATCTATGTCTTGCTATACTTCATTGTGCCATTTTGAGTTTTATTGACTAGAATTACCTTTCCACTGTCTCACAGTTTTGTAGGGGACACCGTAGTAGCAGTCTTTGCATTCACTGATGACTGGTAACTGTGCTTGGTTTTCAAGACTGCAGTATATGGACAGAGACCAAGTGCATATGGACCCAAAACCCATTATACTAATAATTTTGTTGTAGGTAAATCATACCTCCCAACCTTCTGACATGAGAAAGAGGGACACATTCCAGCACAATTTATTTAGCCAATGGACACACTACCCTGCCATGCCCCCATGCCAAAAATGATTGGTTAAACTCAGAATTGTCTTATTTCACCATTACTTTTATACTGGCTTTTCAAAATAGAAAACAAGATAGTTAAGAAATAAGATGAAGGTAGAATATATTTTTTTAGATAAATAGTACATTTTCATAGATATCTGTGCATCAGACCTAAAATAGGGACAACTGAGAAGGAAAGAGGGACAGAGGGATTAGGTTCTAAATGAGGGACAGTCCCTCCAATGAAGTATAGCTGGGAGGAATGGGTAAATTCTGCTAGGTTGACTCTCCCATTGGATTTCTGCAAAGCCAGCATATGCCGTGGCCTAGCATGGCCTAGCCCTCTCAGCTTGTTCTGCTCAGTGATCTTTGTAATCCAACAATGCAACCCCCTACAGACACACTTCCTTGTAATGGACATGGCAGGTAGTTTTTCACAAAAGGGTGAAGGGTATGGAGAAGGCAGGAGAAGTGAACAATCTAGGAGAACATAGCTGATTTGGAAAAATTCTCCAATCCAGCTCACTTTCCAGTTCAGCTATGTTGTCCTAGATTGTTCACTTCTCCTCCCTTCTGCAAACTATTCACCCTTTTGTGAATAACCCTGTTAGTATTTTCATATCTACATTAATTTTTGCCTTCATTCGCACAGAATAAAGATGCATGCAATTTCAGGGGACAAGTGCTTACAATAAGGAAGGACTTTATGTGCAGGCACACAGAGGCCCCTGTTGTGCGCAGAGAGCACTGGATTAGATTGTATTACAAACTTCAGGTTTGCTTTAAGACTCTTGGCACGAGTGCACAATGTATTCTGAGGTGTAAAAATCCCCCTGAATAAAATAGTAGTAGAATATCAGCAATGCATACAACACAGTTATTCCAGTCCATATGTGGCTAAAATGAAATG